TTAAAACACGGAGGGCAAATCTTTGGGTAACCCGGGACATTCTACACATTAAGCGAAAACTGAAGTGCACGAAAAAGAAATCAAACAGAAATCCTGATGCGATTCAACAACTTCAGTTTGAACTTTCTTGCGCACTAACATCCCGAGATAGATATTTTTCATCGACCTTACCGGGTTTTTTAAAAAGTAACCCAGAAAAACTTTGGCAATACTTGGGAAATAAAGCTCCTCCTTTAGAAAAATTAAAGAAGAATGGCTTAGTAATTACGGACTTGACAGAAATTTCCAACATAATGTATGATTGTCTTCAATCAATGTTTTCTTCAAAAGATACTGCAAATTTCGATCGTGTTCCATCCTTGCCTGATTCAGATTTCATAAGCTTTGAGGGTGTCTTATCACTGGTAATTCGCATAAAAGAAAAATCTTCTGGCAGCCCTGATGGCATTTCGAATTCTTTCTTGCGCAGATATGCTGAACCAGTATTGCGTATTTTAAGCACTGTTTTTCTTAATTACTAAAAATGGCAACAGTACCAGATGACTGGCGTCTCGTCAGGGTTGTAGCTATGCATAAAAAAGGTGATCGACTGCTGAAGGAAAACTACTGACCGATTTCTCTAACGTCTATATGCTTCAAGGTACTTGAACATCTATATGCTTCAAGGTACTTGAACATATCATTGCTCACTTTGTTACTGATTTTCTTGAAATGGTAACCTGTTGTCTCCAGCCCAGCATGGCTTTAGGAAAAAACTACCAACGTGTACACAGCTCGTTGAAACAGTTCATGATATCGCAAAAATTCTTCAGGTCCGGTTGACTTATTTCTTTAGACTTTAGCAAGGCATTCGACTGCGTTCCCCATGGCAAACTTCTCTTAAAGCTCCGACACTTGAATTTTCTATCTTTCGTCATAAATTGGATAGATGCTCATCTTTCAAATCGCGCACAGTACGCTGACGTGAGGCGACATATTTCTAACACATTACCGGTATTATCAGGTGTTCCACAGAGAAGTGTTTTAGGGCCGATTCTTTTTTTATATACAGTAAAACCTCGTTATGACAAAGTAGGATACAACGAAGCAATTGAAGATCCCCTTGAATTTCCCATGGATGCCCATGTATTTAAAACCTCATTTTCACGAAGCGAAAATTTCCCCAACAATAGATATAACGAACCATTCCTCGTCCACAATGAGCCTTTACTGATCATTTTGGTATACATCAATTCTCAAATCTTACAGCACGCGACAGTTTACGTCTCATCATGGCCGCGGTAATTCAAAACTCGCGCCTTGCGCTTCCCGGAAGCCGCTTGCCAACATACGTATGGCAGCGAGTCTCCCCGCTTCCCTACTCCTCTGGAACTAATGGACTCGCGCGAGCGCGCGTGTCAGCCAGCCTATCCTCTCCCGTAGAACTCGTTGACCCGCCCGTGCATCTGACCTCCTCCTCTCCTTTAGCTTCGCGCTGGGGCCTCGTGCGCCACCGGGGCAGCGGCTTGCAGGTGGAGATTGAGATTGTGGCTTTATACTTTGTCGTTCGCTGCGGAAGAGCAACATTACCTCTATCAGTTTCTGCTGCTAGACACGAGATGGACAACGGCAGTGGCAAGCGTAAGTGCAAAAATATAAAAATCAAACAAAAGTTGGCAATGTTAAAAGCCCTTGAGTCTGGCATCAGAAAAAAAAAGTGGCTGAAAATTTCGGTGATGTGTGGGTGCCGCGGGCGACCAGGCTCAGGTGTCTTGGGGACGTTCTCTTTGACGCCGGGATTGTGCCCGACTGCGACACTTTCTGCATGTATGTCGGTGCCGATGCTGACGCGGTGACAACCGAAGAGTTGTCAGATGTGGAAATTGTGCCAGAAGTGATGGGCGTGTATCAGGACAGTGACGAATGTATCGACGTACCGACGCCCGCGCAAGCCCTGGATGAGACGGACATGTTGTGACACTTCTTTGGTGCTTACGATGACGGTAAGGACGGAATCGAAATAGCTGCTGCAGCTGAAAAAGCAATTATCTGCGTCAGGAAGAGTCGGCAAAAGTCTATTGAGGATTATTTTTCTTCTGAGGAATCTGTCGGTTGGTGTGCTGAATTTGGCGGAAATAAAGTGCATTGTTCTTTATTATTTTGCTAGTTTTCTGCCTTTCGACGGCCGTTTTATTCTGCCTGGAGGGCAGCTTTGATATTTCTTAGTGAGTACGTTCCCTCTTGCTGGCTAATTGTCGGTAAAAATGAATACTATTGGCCATAAGAAACTAATGGTTATAATAAAGTAATTATGACTCCCCCTTCAACTTTTTTATAACGAGAGGTTTGACTGTACATAAATGACATAGCTGACATGGTTGAGTCTAACATTAGTATTAGATTGCTCACTGACGACTGTGTTCTGTATAAAAAAGTGACATGCGAACAAGATCAGGTTGATCTAAGTCTTGCATTAACACATGTTAGTGAGCAGTGTACTCTGTTGTCAATGACATTAAACCCTCACAATACAATACTCCTACGTGTGACAAAAAAGAAGCAGCCATTCACGCTTACCAACCACGTCCAAGGAACACCAGTACGGGAAGTAAATGAATATAAATACCAAGGAGTTACCATTACAAACACACTTTCTTGGTCCCCACATATAACAAATGTCTGCGCATTAATTAGCCTCTCATAAGCTTGGTTTTCTGATGCACAAAGTGAAAAAAGCCCCTATAAAATTAAAAATGCTCGCGTAAAAAGCGTATATTATGCCTAAACTTGAATATGCATCAATGGATTGGACCCTTTCTACAAAAAAGATATTCAAAAACTTGAAATTGTTCAAAGACGTGCTGTACATTTCCTTTTTTTCCAAGTTTATATAATCTGATTCTCCCACAAAACTAATGAAAGACAACGGCATCCCTGTGCTTGAAGAACACCGCTGAATCCCACGCCTGAAATTTTTGCATTCCATTTATAATGGTAAGCTGAATATTTATACCCACAAACACATACAACCATTTTCTCTTTCCGCATCTAGGCATACTCCCATACTCTACTCAGACTAACATTTTTCAAAATTCCTTCTTCCCCCAAACAATTATTCAATGAAATATCTTACCACCTGATGTCATTTCATCTGATGACTTCGAGAAAGCATTGCTCAAAGCATCCAAACCATAACATAGGTGCACCTTCTCTATATTTCTAGCGCTTATTATAATGTCTATGCTTTGTTTTCATGCAATATCACTTCTTCGAATCTTTAATCCTCAGTATTTGTAATACTTCAAACATTTCCATGTGAATAAATTTCGCTGTGCATATGTGTATATTATTTTTCTTCATGCTTTAAGACATCACTCCATTTCTTGCATTATTTATTCTTATATGTAAGTTGTTATTAGGCTTGTGCAAATATCAGCCATTGAACCAGCCATTGGCTGATTTGAGCATGGGGCACTTGGTCATTACTGGGGCCTCTGCGGACGGCCGCGACATGCCCACGCGTACATGCGCGGTCGCTCAGGAAAAGCCGCGAATCCAAATAAAAAAAAAAAAAAAAGAAAGAAAGAGTGCTCAAGGTCACGACATGCATGTGAGGTATTTGTTTCCCCAATGCATGCCATCTCTCCCGGCTTTGCTTCAAGCGCTTTCGTCGGGACCAGAAGACAGAATGCAATTGCAGCATGTGGCAATTCTTTGCGACTGCTCATGCTGAACAGATTCTAAAAATTTTTGCGGCGGGTAATTCATAAGGAAATAAGCCTTTTAAGTGAATCCATTCCATGGCTACTTTAAAAACTGTTGCAGGGTCCCTTTAAAAGAACATATTGCCACGTTCTATTTCTAAAATTTTGTTATCGCTCCAAAACATTACACAATTCTCAGCGCAAACCGCACCTGCAGTTTTCGAGAAGCTTCCGGACTTTAGTAGATCATTTCGATAAGATCACACCCACTCTGCGAACTGTACAGATTATTTTGGAACCTACGCCATCGCCGGCGATAACGCTAGAACATTCAACGGCAAGACTATAAATGCCGATGCACTTCGCCGCTTGTGAGTAGTTGATCGACGGCCGACGCTCCGTTCGCCGCTATCAGTCCAAGACTGCTACTGTAATCGAATTTTCCGTTTACCGGGCACAGGTTCGGCCAAATAAACAGTTAAATTCCAACACAAAGTCTCCTGTCCTCGGCCACGTCACGACCCCGTGACAATATTATCCTCAAATCGATTTATCATTTTCTAAGCTTAAAAGCTTGTTCTGCCGGTATATGCACTCTTACTGCAATTAATAATGTTACGTATTTTATTGGTTATCACTTGCATCCTACTGAAAGTCAGATTCTGCTACTTCTCAAAGTTGTTTCGACTTCCTTTGAATAGAAAAAAATAAACAAAGGTCTTGCATATAGGCTATGTTTAAAAAAAATATTGTTCAGGTTAGTTAGGGTATGATAAATATGCCCATTTTTCTTTATACATGATATATCCTATTCGAATTCGATTAGAAATTATTAGACCAAAATCACTATTCGCTTCAAACCTGAAATTCACTATTCGCACAAGCCTAGTTATTATATTTGTTGTATTACATATTTTTGTATTCTTGCAAATTTGTTTATTGCAATAATTTTTCTTGATGTTTGCATATACTGTTTATTGCAACGTTCCCAACCTGCCGGGTCTTCAGTGACTGCAGTATTTCTAAAATAAAATAAATAAATAATTAACGATCCCCTTCGAGTTTGATATACCCGTGTTTGACCGTACCATTACAATGAAGTAAATGTAGAATACTCTTGCAATAGTTGTATACTGTTAGGGACTATACTTTTATAACAAACTTTCGTGCTAGGTGCAACTTCGTTATAATGAGGTCTGAGTGTACGTCGACTTAGTAGAAAAAGCAAAAGCAGCCTTCGAGTCACCTTAGGTGAGTCTTTTGTTCACACTTTCGCATCGCACAAATATTAAACTATGCACCGTATAAAATGTTTACCTGTCCTGCGAAGACTGACGCGCCACCCGGTGGTGGCGCTGGTGCCACCCCAAACATGACATCGCTGCTGCCCGTGCCAAAGGAGGAGAACATCTCCATGGCTGCGACGCTTTGCGCTGGCAGCGTGAAGTGCAGCAGGGGTTGGCTGTCCCCAGGCAGAGCTGATGCGGCTCCTATTAAGGAAGGGAAGAGCGTTTTGAAGATAAGAGGTTTTATCGAAGCCAAAGATGCCTTAGATGGCTCGTCAAACGGGAAATTTGACCATTGGCGATGACTGTGCCGTAAGGTTGAGAACGAGTGACGAAAAAATTACCCTATTTACTTGCATAATAGGTGCACCCGCATAATAGGTGCACCCCCAGTTTGGTAGAGAGAAATCAGATTTTTTTTTTTATTTTAATGCGCGAACGGCGCTCCCCGAACGTGGCCTTGATGAGTAGTTTTGTATCGCACTCGTGCGGTTGCAATTCGATGCCCCTTTAGGTTAACTGAAGCGCGGGAAAAAGAAAAGAAAAAAGATCGCGATGGTGCTGCGCCAGCTACGCGGGCTCGCTCAGTGAAGAAGAAGGGAGGTTACTGGGCGTTGAAGTAACCTTCACACCCGCCTTTAATTTCCTGGCCGCGAGCCTAACCATCGTATCACACATGCTGCTCTTGGATCAGTGCTTGAGTACGATCTTTTCAACATCCAATCTTTATGTTGTCTTGTGCAAACTTCCTGCAACAACATGCCGAACCATAGGCGTAATCAGTGTAGGTCGCGGGCAATCGAAATCGCGGTTTTGTTTGAAATAAACGTAACTGTTTTCTGTGGCTCTACTTCAAGGCAAGGAGTCTTGGGTGACGCCAGTAACACTCGAATGGTGTTTTACAATTCAATCGAATTGTCTTGGTTATGAAGTGCGAGCTCACAAAACTGAACGATAAGTGCCATCAATGCACAAAATTTCGATCGTAATATGAACGATAAGTGCCATCAATGCACAAAATTTCGATCGTAATATATTCACACTTGCTTATAACCAACCTTCATATAATGAACTCCTCAATATAACGAAGTATTTCGATTTCCCCCCATCACTCCATAGAAGCACATGTATTTGCGACCTCTATGTAACAAAGTAACAGCGGCAGACAACCTTGATAAAACGAATTTTCGCCACGGGCAATCTAGGAATTTCACCCTGGAATCAGACATTTTGGCACGAGCATCTTCCCCGGTTGCCCCACCGCCGATGAAGCGCGAAGTGGCGGTGGCGCGCTCGCGGCCCTGGCGACTCCCAGGCGAGGCGGGCAGGCAGGCCTGCACCCCACTGGTCGTCGTTCTTGCAGCCACGGGCGCATGCACCCACCTTCCTTCTCTCCCCAAACAAAAAACAAAGAAAGAAAACTACTTTTGCACTGGCCGTACCACACTTTTCGTTAGCATCACATATATGGAGCCGTGCTATATATAAGGGAGACTCACGCCGAGGGAGGCGCTGCGGAGCGTGGTGCTGTCAGTCAATGCGGGGAGAAAACTCGTTACTCGAGTCTTCGCCCCTCCGCTGTCCCATTCAACCTGCCTTGAAAACGCGTTTCTATGCTCGCGCGCTGCACGCGTTCTGCACGCGTTCTGCACGTGTTTTTGAGAGTTTCGCGTCGCGTGCGGTGCGCTCTGTCCACATTTATTAGGATGCCGCAATTGAGGATTTTTTTTCGTGGCAGCAATTTAGTAAAAGGGCAGCCAAGCAAGTTGTAGCAGACGACGCCGTCCTCGTCAGAGCGAAGTGCGTTTCGCAAGTGAAAGACGACGCTGTTTACGACGACAGAGGTGAGTAAAAATTTCTGTACGTTCATTATTATATACTTGTTTTATTTGGTTTACTCTGTGTACTATGCACTATGTTTGTTCCTGCATGGATGGGTAAGGCCGCTTCTCGTGCTTTAGGTTAAGCGGTTCTTGCGCTGTGACTGCTATTAGTTGGGATACCTTAATTTACTGGCACCTACCCAAGTTATCGTGCGGTGTATACACAACACTTCAAAAATAAATGGTCTATTTGGGGCTTCTTTCTGACCCACAACAATAATTGACATCTATCTCGCGTGATTTTCCTTGCATTATCACTGTTCTCATCGCGGGTATTTTGAGTTCACGAACAGCGTGCGTACCATCACGATGAGTGCCCAGCTTTCAGAGAAACTTTTTTGTGTGTGTCTAATCTGCAGGGGAAGAGCGCATTGCTATAAAGGCATTTTATCTTGGTCACGTATCAAAAATGCACCGTGTTGTTCAGGTTGCCCCTGCACACTCAGTAACCACTAGTTCACTGTATCTGCCAACGGACGTGCAACAACGGCTAATGCATTTTTTTTTTCTTTTTTTCATAGTTGCCCAAGCTTTTGGCAACCACACACTTCCGTCGGCGCTACAAAGATTTAAAAATATATAACAACACATTACCAATACCACATGTGCACACAGCTTCAACTACTACGTCCCCAACAATATCGAATAATAGTAGCAGCATAATATATTTATTCACTATTTTTTAACAGGGCTCTAAAGACGGGCGTTGAAAAATGTATATGTTTAAGATGGGGACGTGCATCTCCCAGTAACTCGATAGATTAGAGAAACGGTGACGCTGGAATTAACACACGTAATTTTGAATGTATTGTGCGCATGCTAATGTTTATGAAAAAAAAATTGTTTACGTACTTTTTTCGGCGCACTGCTTTAATCCATTTCTGTCGTCTGCTTGTTTCGTACCATCGGTTTGGGAATCGGTAGAATTTCACTGGTGGGGTCGACCTCTTCGTGTTTGCATGGTTATTGTGACAGTTGACGACGCAGCGATGTCACCCCTTTTTCTGTTGGGGTGACATCGCAGAACGAGGGACGTTTCACGTGCAGCGCGTGCTTCGCAAATGCGTGGAAGCCAAAGGGAGCGGAAGGGTGGGAAGACTATTGTTGTGCGCTTTTTCTGGCAGGGGAAAGGCAAACGCTGGCGTCGCCGGGCAAACCTGAGCGGGTCTCCCCTATAGAGGGCGCTTTACCAAACTGTTTTCCGCGGTATCTATGTTGTTCGCGCACATGGTGTGGCCCTTTGACGTTTACCTTTGCTTTTTTTCTTTGTTTTTTTGTCGCTACTGCGGAGATGTCAGTTTAGACGCTGATGGAAACTCAGAGCATGGTGACAACGGCAGATTTTCGGAGGTCGACTCATTGCAAGCTTCTGTCTTGTGCCCAGAGTTCACGGGACCGTAGCATTCGTGATTAGCTCTTTATAAAACAGAGCGCACATAAAAACATGGGAGAGAAAGAGATCAGGACAAGCGCTCACTATCAACTGAAGTTTTGTTGCAGAATAAGAGCATATATAAACACACAATGAAATCGCAATAAAGAGAAGAAGCAGAAAAGGCAAAAAAAAATCCGAACGAAAAAGGACACGTATTTATGCTAAGAATTGATGCTCTTGATAACAAATATTAGGATGGATGGGATACTGACACATCTGTTACCTGCCGTCGCAATCCTAGCCGCCTCTACGATTTCTCTGGTAAATCTTTTCTGATGCCAATACAGTACAACTACAGCAGGTCACATTGGTGCAGAATATAGCAATTGGTGCAGGCCTTCCACCCCTGAGAAAAGCTAAGGCAGTCATTTATCTCAGGATGCAAAGTTTTAAAAAAATTTGCATGTTTGAAATTTGCATGCAATATCACAAGCATTTATTTTTATATGGTGGCCTTAAACAATAGGGGGTGAACTTAAGTCATCTCAGGAACAAGATGAGTTAGAGGAAAAGTAACTACATATTTGAAATCAGCAGAAAAAACTCCATAGGCATGTGCAGTATGATCAAGATCACTAAGAAATAAACAAAAAACTGTCATCGATGAGTCTGTCCCTTTAAAATATTTTTCTGCAGCATCTAATTCATGGTCATGAACTACATGCAGAAGACACTCGTATGCCACGGTAGGTTTGGGGGACTCCTTTTGACCCAACTTAGCCAAAATATGAAAATTAATACCGGTGTCACACGGGCACCATTAATCGCAATCAGTGTCGATCCGGATTAACCATGATCCAAATTAGGTGCTGCTACACTGTCACTTTTAATCACCATTAGGCGCAATCAGGATCGAGGCTATTGTGATCTGCTAATCGTGATCTGCGTATCGTGATCTGCCTGAGAGATCGCGATTTTGCTGTCGTTGGCACCCCCTAGCTGAGCTTGTTGAAAGCACAATAAAAAAGAGAGTCAAGCATAGTTGGATAAAAATGCTTTTAAACAACAGCTAGATGTTTATAAAAAAGCAAATACTAAACTGTTTATATTTAAACAATATGTAAAGTACTGCATCTTTTAGGATCCACATGGACCGCATGTAGTTGCGAAGAAGCAGACGGCAGGCAGACGACAAGCAGTTGACCGTTTCCTTCAGCGCTTAGTTCAACTCTCGCTACGACGGAGCTATTGGAGCACTTAGAAGCAAACTGATTACGAGTGTCGCAAGCGTTTTCGCTATGTCGCAACGTAAGCGCACATAGTAGTCAAATGAACAGATCTTTACAGTAATTGAACGCTAGTAGGAGCGACTGGAACAGACTTGATGCGCCAGAAGTGAAACACTGAGGCGTACAATGAGACTGTTTGATTCGCTGAGACTACACGGCTACAAGCGGCGGCCATCAGAAATAAAAGCTTAAGTTAAGAATCTCACACAGCAATACAGGTAAGTGTTAGGAAACTTTTATCGAATGATGGATTTATGAAATCGCTATCGTTGTGGCATGCAACCTTTTTGACGTTCGAGCAGTTCTTGCAGGAATAAAAAGCTGATAAAGGGCTCTATATATATATATCGTACATCAAGTTTTGTCAGTGGCATGTTTTATGGCACGCAAATGCCACCTGGGACATTTCATCTGACCTAAGCTCGAACTGGATTAGCTTGGGCCGTGTAGCAGCCGTCACAAAGTTGATCGCGATCAAGAGAACTAATCCGTATCGCCCTGATTCCGATTGAAAGTGCATGTGTGACACTGGTATTAGTTTGAAATTCATGACACCGCAATCGCGTACCCGCTGCACAGTTTTGGTGCGAAATTCGGAAACTGCAACTTCGGCCCTTCAGTTTCGTCTTGAATTTAAAAGCGATAGAGTTCTTGAAGAAAAACTCAGCATACGAAACCGATTTGATGTCTCACTTTGGCGTCCTTTCAAAATGATAATTGTGCAAATGATGAATATACGCTCTAACCTCAATGCAACGAACACAGTTACAATGTAGTAAATAAGGAATAGTATTGCAATAGTGTTAAAAATTACCATTCTAATAAATTTTTTGAGATAACAAACATATTTTTTGTGCACGATGCAACTTTGTTATGATGAGGTTTGAGTATATGGTAATATCATACCTTGAAGACACTGCAGTATTTCCAGCCTTTCTTTCCTAACTTGGGCTTCTCTTGTAACCAACTGGTCAAAAAAAAAAAAAAAAAAAAAGTCAAAAATGGTTGTAATATAAAAAAAGAAAAAAAAAAGACATCATAGAAAGAATTACTTGAAGCAGCCAGCACAGATAGAAGCAAACACTATTGTCAAACCTCATTATTGCAAGGTTTCAATTAGAACAAAACACTTTTGTAAAATGAAATATTCTTTTCAAGCAGACAAACTGTCTTCTTCACAAGTGTATTTTAGCATGAAATCATTTTTTCCTTTTTTTCTCGTCTAGATTTCATGGCATTCTAGTGGCAGGCGAAAAAAAAATTAACTTTACGGTCTTTTGCTTTTTTTTTTCCCCAGTAGCCTCCAATTTTTATTTGTTTTTAATTAGTGGTCGTAGTTGGCAACAAAGAAAATCGGTCTTTTAACCATGTGTCACATCAGCAATCTAGCATACAGTCCAACCCCTTTATTAGAGACACTGATGTAAGTGACAAATGTGTAGAAGAGACACCAATGTGCCTTCATTCAAATATACGACAAGTGATGAGAAATGCATGCATGGTACCCTGCTAATAAGGGACATCTCATGTAAGGGACAACAATTGCTTCTCTATGCATGAATGACTATGCATGTGTGACTGCTCGAAATACAACCTGGAAAGACAACAGCTTTCTAATAAACTAAACAGGTTAGATGACCAGCCGCTGTCAGAAGAAAGTATACTGCGCCATCGTCATGACTCATCGTCACAGAAGAAAGCCGTGCAAGCGCTACTGGGCTTCTTGCGAACTACTGGCCAGTCGGAACGCCTCTGAGTGGACTGATTTTGTGTGTGCGTGTGTGTCGGTGTTTTTCTCTTATTTATTTTTTAACTCTCCCTTTCTCTTTCAACCCACAATTCCCCAACCCCAGTGTAGGGTAGCATACTGGATACTAGCATCTGGTTAACCTCCCTGCCTTCCTTTTTTCTCGTTTCTCTCTCTCTCTCTCTCTCTCTATGCATGTCTCTTATAGAGTGGTTCGACTACTTGTTAGGCTATCAGGATCTGTAGTAACAAGACTAGACTGTATGAAAAGAAAGCAGCATTGAAAGCTGGCCGAGCTGGTCAAGATTCATCTTGCACCAAAGCTGCTGGACAGGACAAAACACTAAGTAAAGTGAAATGAATGAACGCAATCAGCCAACTTCAAAAGTAACAGAATATCTTAAAGCTTTTTAAATATTATTCATTAATTCTTCATGAAAGTTGCCAGAATTATTTACATTTGTATACCGATTTCAAAATGTGCAATCATTATTCTATTGCATGCGTATTTTTTAAAGTATCCTACATTTGATGAGATTTTCAGAACATCTTTTTTTCTTTGAAAAAGCCACGAGACAAATCCGCATAAGAGAATAATGTGAAATGAGTAACTGTAATGCACGAAAAACAATAACGATGTTCGAAGCCCATTTGAACAACACTTATGGTACGTTGAACTTAGAAGTGTGGCAGTTTGGGCTAGTTGGTATGACATGACGATAGTTATAGCACGAGAACAGGAACGATCCTTGTCTCTTTGTCGTTGTTCTGTTCTCGCGCTATGACTATCATCGGTACAGTTGAACATTCATGAACGAAATCCCACCTTGACATCAGCTCCACCGGTAAAGCAAGTGATCATAACTTTTGTTCAAATGTGTTTAAGTGACTCCGAAACGACCTCTGACAATTTTTTAACACATTAAGCAAAAAAGTGCATCGAGTTCACGTCACCTCGATAATTGCAAGAAACAATCCTATCTCCTCTCCAGGCCTTTCAGCAATCCTCAGACCGTCCGTGTTCGCCGTGACGCCATCGCTCTCATCTGCTCGTCATCGATGAAATTTGTTTCTTCACATACAAGCGCTTGCGCTCACCGCTCTTTCTTCTCGCCCGTCGAGTGGGAGAATTCAGCCAGGAAGAGACTAGTCGACAAACAGAATGTACTCACGGAAGGAATGAAACGAGCGAGGGCCTCCTTCGTATCATCAAATGTGTGTACCGTAATTAGTCGAATCTAACGCGCACCTTTTTTCCGGTTAAGCCAGTTCATGAATCACATGCGCGTTAGAATCGAGTACGAACAAAAAATTACGGTCAATCTATTGCCATCGGCAAAGCCAAAATGTCCGCCCCCTACGTGCGTCGGCATGGCGCGTCGGCCATTTCTGCCTATGTGTTTCCCATGTGCGGCACTTCGTACGCGTGCTGAGGAGTTCGTCATCTAGTAGTGCATTAGCATCGACAGCGTGGAAGGGCCGACTCCAAAAACTCGAGTGCACCACGATGCCGCTTTTAAAAGAAAAGTCATCACGTGTGAGAAACGGACGGAAATCGGTCCGCATCGCGGTCGTTCGGAGTTCCTGAAAAGTGCGTGCGGGACCGGCGGAAACAAAAGCAGAAGATTGTCAACAGCAAAACTTCCCGCAAAGGCTTCAGTGAACCACAGCAGGGTCGGTTTCCGCAAATTAAAGAGCTGCTCGGTGAGTATGTGCTTGAGCAGCGAGCGGCACAGCGGCCCGTGACGACAGAACTGCTCCAAGTGCGGGCTATGCAATTAGTCTTAGAAAAAGGTCTAATGCGGGGTCAGTTTAAAGCGAGCAGGTTCTGGCTAACTAACTTTATGAAGAGAAAAGGCTTTTCCCTCCGAAGGGGAACATGCATATGCGAAAAGTTTTGCGGAGGAGTACGATGAAAAGCTTCACAGTTCTCAGAGGTTCGTTCTAAACTTGCGGCGCAACAACGGCTACCTGCTTGCGCAAATCGGGAATGCCGATCAGACGTCTCTTTACTTCGACATGCCTGGCACAACAACCGTCGAGAAGAAGGGGGTGAAGCAAGTTCGCGTGCTGACATCGATCCACGGTAAAACTACAGTGACGGCAATGCTCTGTTACCCGTCAGATGGGCACAAGCTTCGCCCGTACTTCATATTTAAATGGAAGACGCTCCCGAAAGGAGTCGTTTGTTCAAGTGGTGTGATCGTGCGGGCCAGCGAGAAAAATGGGTGCGCGTTGCGATCGATGTCTCACTTTTTTTTTTTGCGCGGTGGAAATCAGGTGCGCGTTACAATCGAAGGCGCGGTAGAATCGAGTAAATACGGTAACTCTGCTATTATGGCACCATTTCAAAACATTTCAACCAGGTTCAAAGTAGAGTAGGGCACAATTGCAACACCACAACTAAATTTCAATCTCTTGGTCATTTTGAGACACTCTTAAGGGGGCAGACTGGTCTTTGGGACCAAAAAGTGCCAAAAAATTTAATTTTTTTTAAAAATTGACATATTTGGTTTCTGCAAGTATTTTTCTATCTCTAAGCAAATTTTCACACATCAGGAAGTAGTAATTCTTTTTTAATGTCATTCTAACTGTCCAGATTATTGGCACTGTTAACATGCAGAACCTGCGAAAAAATGGGCAATTGACTTTGAGGCTTCTTTAATTTGACGGCACCTGTGTTAGAAGCCCTGCTACGAATTTATGAGCACCTATATGAGAATTGCAAAACATGCTCACCATGATTGTTGCTTTCTGAAGAAGCTGTGTGTTTTCAGTTTTTTCCATATTTCTCAAACAGGTAAATTTACGACTGGTCAATTTTGAGGACTCAATATCTCTGCAGCTAGGGCAGGTACAACAATAATTCTTTTTGCAATGGAACCTGTATGTGTGTTGAATGCAAGTATAAGAGCAGAAGTTAGAGCACAAGCCTTTTTAATTAATTACTCCTTAAAATAATAACACAAGTCCAACTGCTTTTGAAAATGGATAGTTCATTTTGCTGTAAAATAACCAAGAAAGGCCTAAAACGAAAAACCTCCTGCATACTTCTAATCTATAGTTATTAGTATATGTTGGCATATCTTAAATATCACTTTTAATTAAGGACTTTCTTTTTATAGTGGCCTTAAACAATAGGGGATGAACTTATGTCAGGAACAAAATGAGCTACAGAAAAACTAATTAAATATTTGAAATCAGCAGAAAGAACTGCATGACCATGTGCAGTTTGATCGAGATCATTGAAGAAATAAACAAATAACATGTCTAAGACCAGTATGCCCCCTTAAGGGACACTAAAGAGCAAAACACTTCTTCACATATTAGTAAAGTACAATTTCAAAATCCCCAAAACCCCGCTCTTACCGCATCAGGACGCTTGGCAAGCGAGAAGGCGCGCGAAAAGAAACTGCGGGTAGAAATGCCACCTTGAGATTGCCGCACCAATCACTGTTACGTCATTAATTTTGAGGGCGTCTACTGGGGTCCTACGTACCTTCTAATCGACGAAATTCAGTACATAGTCATCGGTCGGTTCCACAGACTTAGCATACCATGTTTAAAAAAATATGAGTGAGCCAATGTCGCGAAAATACGAAAGATACACCGCCAATTTCTTGTGTCATGCGCGGAGATTACGGCGCGAAATTTCAAAATGAAACTCCAGCCTTGATTTTCTGCAGTAATAATGAACTTATCACAGTGAAACTTATGAGATTAGAGTTCTCAGAGTGCAGTTTATTAATCTAAAAACTTACTGGTTCTCTTTGATGTCCTTTCAAGACATCCATACAGCATACATTCTTGATTCCAGAGTATTTTGACATACTGATTTAGCTTGTAACTTTCTGTGCACAGGAGGGTCTTGCTCCAAAGAACCACGTAATTTGTTTATTCTATAGTCTACATAATCCGCAAGAAAAATAGCTGAACAGTTGAAATCATGACACAAATGAATACCAACTCAGCAAGTTTGATCAAAACATATGAAATATTTAAAAAGAGAGAAAAAAAATATAAGAGTAGTGTTCTCCCTTGCAGGGCCAGAAAGGAGGCTTGCACTTTTTTTACACGCTTTCCAAAACAAGCTCCCTAATTCACAGAAGATTGCACTGATCACTATTCGCATATATTAAGGCACTGCACCAATGATGCTGCATTTCGAAAAAGAATTTCCGCTAACTTTTCTAGCGCCCATCAAGCCATCTACACCAGCA